TTTTTGATTAGTTTGAATTTATATCAATGGTCCATAGGGGAATTTTACTGTAATTAGATTTGAATCACTTTGCATAGACACAATTCGAATAAAATTTAAGATTATTTACAACATAAAAATAAAGTATTACTACTAAAAAAAAAAATTAAAGAATTATATAAATAATAACCCACTAAAAAGTAAAATAAAAAAAGGTAGTACAGAACAGAAACTAACGTGCCAGCCCACCTGTCCGCTGAGAGAGGCCACCCGACCGCCATACTGCAACTTTGGTGGTGGCAAAACGCGTCCACGCACCTCCATCATGCTATTACTTATCGTCAAACCAAATTCTTGTACATAAGCGTCGTTATTAAAGTCCGCCCGTCGAACTAAGTTGTTAATTTCCCTTTCACGATCCGGCGCCGATCGTGCTGTGGCTTTGATCATAGTTGAAGTTTGCATATCGGTTAATTTCTTAATGCATCTTTGCCCCGCTACGATATTGCACACTTCTAGCGGTAAATACGTGTGTTTGTGTTCTTGCCCTACTTGTAAACACGGTAAATGTGGATACCGTAGTTTCATTTTATACTTGTCCAAAAAGTACTTAGCCACAGTACATTCCACCGTTTGACCATTGTCAAGTTGTAAAGGAAAACTTTGCATCTGAGCTGGACGCCGAGTGACATTACAAACGCGATATTTACGTCGCATCGTGCCACAATGGGTTATCTCTATTTTAAGACCTTTGATTTCTTTGGTGAATTTGACTCGTTGACTGTCCGTGAGCGGTTTGCGTTGGTCGTTTATGTCCCGGATATCAAGAACTTCACACATAAATTCGATTACAGGTTGAGCTTTATAAAATGCTGTTGCTGATACTAAAATATAAAGAAGAAAAGTGAGCAAGGATGATTATGAAGAATGATTTGTTTGTTAACCGTCAATATTAAGCATCATTTTCCATTGACTTGGTCTAACAGATTGATGGAATCCAAACCAAACCTCTCTCCCGCCACCTAATGGGTGATAATATCCTTCGGGACTGCTGAAAAAACTTCTACCAACGGGCGTATAGCTCATCGATGGCAAATGTCTCATAACGACGTCCAAAGCCATAATAGCTTCATATGGGATCTGCCTAGTACGACCTTCCAAAGCCTCTTCGAGACCATACAGTGACACCTGCGCCACCCATTTAATTGTAACTCTAAACAACCGATCCTTTCCCTCTCCAGGCAACGTTACTTCCAGTTCCTCTCTCGAATTACCAATTGGCAATGGATCCCGAGTGTACAAATTATTTCTACCATCAAAGACCGGTTTTAATGTCCCAAAGATTTTTGTGTATGCATGAACCATTGTTTCTATTATTTCGCGATTAACCTACAATCATAAATTTAATTAAAATTTATTGGGGGCTTTTATTGATATAATATTACCTTTCTCGGGCATTTGTCTGGTTGTATATTGACGTCGTAATGATGAACAAAACCTCTGGGCATTGTGATTTGGAAGTGGTTTGCTCTGAGGCCGATTGGCCGACCTTCCCGGCCCAAGTTCGGCCTTCGTGGGCATTGGAAATGTGGGGGATCTGTTGGTGGGGCCACAGTTGCCAAAGATGGACCTGCTGTTCCTGGGATGGCCACTGCTGTACTTGTTGTACCAATTGGGGTGGTTGGTTGACCAGCTAAATAATAAATAAATTATACATGTGTTTAATTTTATTTACCATATTTCTTAAAGAATTAATTATTACACATTAATCATCTAAAATAATCACTTTAATGATAAATTACAATTACAAATTAGTTATTTGAGAGAAATAACTAATTTGGAGAAACCTATACCTGATACCCTACCTCCCTCTTTAAATGTTATATTCTGATCCACCTAATTTAGTGCTTTATTTCAGAATTTTGTGTAAAAATTTCACTTTGAGTTAGGTTAATTAACACTTAAACCAGTGCAAGTTTCTTAAATGTTGGGTTGGGCATGGAGCGCACGGCTAAACGCTATACTTACTAGTTCTAGTGTTAGTTCTAGTTTTACACTAGCACTATCACTAGAACTAACACTAACTATATCTAGAACTAGAAACGTTCGGGTTTTGCCGCACGTCTCTCAAGACGGCTAAATCCGAATGATTCTAGTTCTAGGTCTTGTATTAGTTCTAGTGATAGTGTTAGTGTAAAACTAACACTATACCTAGAACTAGAATCATTCGGATTTAGCCGTCTTGAGAGACATGCGGCAAAACCCGAACGTTTCTAGTTCTAGGTATAGTGTTAGTTGTAGTAACAGTGCAAGTGTAAAATTAGAACTAACACTGGAGTAAAACGCCAGTAATTGACCGTCAAAAATAAGGATCCAAGGAATATCTAAAAAAAAAAATAAATCTATCCATAAATAGCCACCACTCTCTTCTCCACCCCCTACTACGCAAAAAGTCCCACAACCATACCCTTCTTGAGTTCTTGTTATTTAATTTCGCGCTAACTGTCGGCCTATTCACATCGTGCTAAAAAGGGTAATTTTTATGTTTAGAAATTCGACCAAACAAGGTAGTATCTATTCAGCCGTTTTTGCAT